ACCTCAGACTCGGATCCGGGTCGGGTACGGGTTGGGGGTGTTCCATATTTGATAAAAATCATATCAAAATCAGAAATATATTTAATTCACATTCGTAAAATATGGCATGGGCAGTTCATACCCAGAATTATTCATAAAACTTACTAAAATATTACAGATATATTTCCAAAAATCAAAACATAATTCATATCCTTCAAATAATCCATGTGAGGTTGACTTATCGCAAGTCGTTCTCGATCAAAATAATTAAATAAATAAACTGCACTCACCTTTGCCTCACTATAGAACTGGTATACAATAATCCTAGTCACGAGCCTTGTCCTTTCCTTTCGGATCGTTCGGATTGCTAGATTTATCGTAGTCTGACAATACCAAATTATAACACAAAATGTTCGAACTACGTATTAGTATTGTACTAACATAAGCTGATTTTAACATTCGAAAATCTATAAAAAAATCGAGATTAAATTGATGTCAAACTAGATCATATTTCTTTTATAATTTCCAACTTCTCAAAATACTCATCCAAATCCATGAATATTTAGCATTTCATCTTTTGCTAAATTGCATAAATAAGCCACAAATTGTGAATTCGTTTTTTAGAATTCACCTCAACCTTTCGATTTAGTTCATAATGGTCCTTCACCATTATGACCATTGCATAGTAATTACTAAAATTCCAGAACTTTAATAAAATACTCAAAGCAATACCTCAACATTCAAAACATTATAATTTCAACCCAAACTTTCCTAAACTTTTGATTTTCAACCACCAAACTTTATAAATTTGTAATTCAACTCCAACTCAATATTTAATTCAAAATTCAACATACCAATAAATTTTCCAACATTCAATAATTTACCCAAATAATACCTCTGCATTTAATAACTTGTAAACAAGTCCCCAAGGAATTGGGACCTTTTGAATTCCACCTCTAATTTTTACCAAATTTGCAATTTGGTTCCAACCAACTTTTCAACTTAATTTATAGCATTACAAATATCAAAAATCAACATTGAACCCTTCGAATATTATATTCATACAATAATATCCTACAATTCCAATAGCTTGTGAACTAGCCCCTTTTCACTTTTAAGGTTCCAAATTGATCCAAATCAATCTCCAAATCACGTGAAATACTTCTAATATCATTTATAATCCATAGGAAATTTTTCAACATTTTCCCCAATTTTCTTCCCTATGGCTTAATACTTTATATCACCTAGGAGGAACTTTTAGTTCAATTTCAAGCATGAATTCAACCTCTTATGATCAAATTCATGCATTTCCAATCATCATAACATCAAATTGAATCCAAATACTAATACTTCCATAAACCCTAATTAAGCCAAACCTTATGTATACATGTACAATTAATTTTAATTATCATACATGCTTTACAAATAATCACTAACATCAAAAACATAAAAATCCTCCATCAATTCTTCAAAATCACTAAACCCTCCTTAAACCCTAATCATGAAATCTCATTACACAATCATCTTCACCATGAAATATTGTTATCAAATAATAGAGAATTTCATGTAGATTAATTCTCTGTCTAATAGCTTAATACAAAAATTAATCATATAACTTGAAAAATTAAAATTAAAATCTTACCTAGGGAGGGCTTGTACTTTGAGACAAATGAAAAAAGAAGCTGAAATTGTGTTGATTTTCTTGATTATTCTAGTATATAAAAGATAAAACACATGGCATTTTCTGATTAATTGAATTTAATATCCAATTAATAAAAAATCTCAAAAATACCCTTAATAAATCTTAAAAATTACCAAATGCCATTGTATTATTTTCCATTAAAATATTCCTTGGTCAAAGATGAATCAACTTGGCTTTGAATTTCTAATTTGGCCATGTAATTTTTGAAAATTGCATTTCAGTCACTAAAATTTCACTATTCGGTCAAATCTAAAAAATTACATTGTTATGAACCAAATTTATTTGATCTAAAATATGAAAATAATATTTTCAACCACTTTATAACATTTTCAAATTTTCATAAAATTTCGGTTCAATCCGATTATCCGATTTTAATACCGAAATTTGTCGCTCTATAGCTTTTAGCACACATCCCGTACCGAAAATATGATTCCCACAAAAATCCTTATTTTAAACCAAACTGTTCATTTACGGGCTAAAATATATAACTTTTAAAAATTACAAATTCAGTCCCTAAAATTTTTAGAGTTTATATCTTAACTACTAAACTTTCAAAACTTAGATTTTAATCACTAGACAAAATTTGGGGTATTACAAGGAGACAAATGGAAACAGAATGAAGAATTTTCTTTCGTTGAATTAACAATGTGAATGATACAACTCTAATTATAAACAAAGTACCTTTAACTAACTAACCAAAATAACAAATTTATAATTGATATAACAGCTACAAATGGCTCTTTGACTATAGAATATTATTTTATTAAGTCTCTCGACTATTAAAAGTTATAAAATGACCACTCGACTATTCATTATGTTCCAAACCCATTCATTTTCATTAAAAAAATTGGCAGTTGTATGAGCTAGACGTTAACAAGATGACTGAGATATGATAGTCATTTGAGATTATGTGATCAAATTTTATCATATCACAATCAATAGATTAACGTTGTGCTCAGGATACTGTCAATTTATTAACGGAAAACGATGAGTTTGAAACATAATGAATAGTCGGATGATAATTTTGTAACTTTTAATAGTCTAAGGATTCAGTAAAACAACACTCTATAGTTGAATGATCATTTTATAACTTTTAATAGTCTAAGACTAAATCAAATAATATCCTATAATCGGATACCATTCGCATACTAACCCAAAATTTTATTGCATAACATATATGATTTTTTAATTGCTTACAAACGTCGGGATAAATTCATTCTTTATTTTTTTTAAATTCTCTATCTATCCTATTTATAGTGTTCATTATTGATTTTTTACGTAATTTTAGAAAGTAAAAGATGTGTTGTAAAAAAATAAAAAAATGATAATTTTATCATAAAAAATTAAATTTTATATGGTTGGAAAACTGAAGAAAGGGTAGAAAGGAAATTTTACCTAGCAAAAGTTATTAGTTTTTTTAAAAAAATGTATATGATTTGTGGACCTCATACCAATGACAAGACATCAAGCTAATTGCTTTAGCAGCCATTCAAAAATTGCAGCGATTATTATTATTATTATTATTAAATAACATCCTTACAATAATAAATTGCAGCAATTATTTTAGATTATTTATTATAGTTTGCTTCCTGATTCGCTGTCTCTATTCTTGGGTTACACCAATCAAAAGGTTCACGTGGTCGGGGACATCAAGTTTTCTATTCATCAAGCCACATATGGTTCCCCTAACCCGACCATTTTATTATTTCCACGTATATACGAGGGGTTAAAGACAGTACCATTTTAAAAAATTTATAATTGTACTCCTATGAGTTTTTATTAAAACCTTTTTTACTATTTACTTTTTTTCTTACATAAAATCTTATGTATGCTATTAATATATATATATATATATATATATTAAAATATTGTATGTTTTACCATTTAATTAATCACGTCTAGGAATAAATATTCAATTAAGTTCATTCGCGTGAAAAAAGTTTAAGTTCACAAGTTTTATTTTATAATTTAAATTTTAGTTAATTTTTTAGTGGAGTCGAGTTTATAATATTCGAACTAATTCAAATAGATTTGACTTTTTAAAGTTTCTATTTAAATTTAACATTAAATATTTATAATGTTATGATACTAATTGATTCCAATTTAATCAACTTTTTATAATCATATACTATATATATTCATATGTAGTATACTTATATCATACAGAGCTGAGAGAATTGACTCAAACTTAAAAACAAATCTACTAATTACTAAAAATTTTGAGTTGTTAGAGTCTTATTATATAACTCAAACATTATTTGGTTTTTTAAAAGTTAAGTCAGGTTTATGAAATTACAAGTTGTCTCAAGTATAGTTGAGATTTTTTAGCGTCAAATCTAGTTGATTTTTTTTCAAGTTGAATTTTACTCATCGCTATACAACTTAAACCAATACATAATGCTAAATGATATTTTTGGGTTAGAATTTGACAAAACGAATCAAGATAAAAAAATCAACACGTCGAAAAATATAAAGTCAAATATCAACATAAAAATCAAAGTTAACAATCAAAATTAACAGTAAACGGTCAAACCATGTTAATGGCCCAACCAACAATTTGGTTAACGATATGGTCTGGTCAACCGTCCAGACTGATATCAATATCATATTGAGCTATGAAATTAAGAAAATAATTTAGTATAAGTACTGAGTCATGGTATCAGTACCAAATCGAGTTCAATATAAATACTATGATATATTATATAGATTTTATTTGGATATTTATTGATAATCTCTTTTTGCCCTTAAAATTTTATAAGTTTTCCCCTACTAAAATTTTAGAAATTCACCCTTGACATGAAATCCTGCAACCATCCTCGTTGAAGGGGTGAAGCAATCGCTCTCCTGAAAATTTGAATTTCTCATCTATATTAGGTCTTATATTTTTTTTTATTGATGATATGATTTTATCTCCTCTAAAATTTTATAAATTCGTCTCTATAACATAAGATTTTGTGTCCGTCTATAGATGCACACTCTTATCTTTTGCAATAAATAAAAGTTTTATCATGTTTTTAAGTATTTATTATTTTACACAAATAATCCATTTAAATAAAAGGGGTGTTTTTGGAGTGTTTCTCTAATAAATAAAAAGAATCATTTTGGTTGGTCTTAACCTTATTAAACACCTCAGATAAATAATGAAGATTTCTTGTAACATTGGTTTTGCTTGAAACTTGCCAATTATAACTAACTATAGTTACACAAGCATGGCCCCTTTACATGATAGAATATTGTAAGAAATTCTAGTAGGCAAAGGCACTTAATTGTCATTTATCATGTCCAAAACTATAATGGCTATATATATTTATATACCCAATTCATAAATAAACCTTCCCCTTCCATATAATATTTTCTAGAAAATCATCCCATACCTTCTTTCGCATTCAACCTCATACTGCTGAAATTCATCAAAGATTTTCTTTGCTAATTTCTCCTAAAGAATGGGGCTCAGGGACATTGGAGCTACACTTCCTCCTGGATTTAGGTTTCACCCAAGTGATGAGGAATTGGTGTGCCATTATCTCTACAAAAAGATTGCCAATGAGGAGGTCTTGAAGGGTACTTTGGTGGAAATTGATCTGCATACATGTGAGCCATGGCAGCTTCCTGGTATACTCTCACTCTCTTTTTTTTGCTTTGGAATCTTATTCCATCTAAATTCTAACTCTCCCTATACTTCCATCATATCTAAAGAAAACACTGTCGACGAGATTAATTTATTTCTTCGATCGTTGGTTATTTATCCTTCCTAATTTCGATGGAGAGTTATATTAGGTAAATTAGCGAGTGTTTTTTTGTAGGAGAGATGAAGATATGAGGGAGAAGATAGGAATAAAGAAAGAGAAAAAAAATGATTAAACAAATTAGAAAGGATAAGCCATCAACCGCCGACGAAACAAATTTATTTTCATCAACAAACATCTATCATTGTTTGAGGCAAACCAGCAAGGTGATGTTGTTGGTGTGTTTTAGCATGTCTGAAAGACAGAGAAAGGAAGACAATTATGGAATTGTTCTTTGATCTCTGGATCCTTGTTCAAGGCACTGGAAAGCATGTTTTGCCCTCTGCCACGTTAGCTGTTAGAATTAACTAGAAAGAGAGAGCAATGGGAAAGACGACATGGTTTTCTTAGAATATATACTCACACCGTTTCTCTCTCTCACACACACACATATATAGTAAAGAGAGAGAAAGAGAAGTTCATACATTCAAGTACATGTATACTTACAAATATGATATGATTATCCACCAATAATATTTTATACTATCAGCTAGCTACTTGAGTCTTGTAGGTAAGGGGTTGCTGTTCTTTTCCCCCATATGTCTATGTTTTTGTTTTGTCACATTGCAAGAACTGAACAAAAAATTACGATTTTGTGATTTTATTTAAGTTATATATACATTTTAGTAATACATTCCTTAAAAACCAAATACAAGTGGGTGATTTCAGGTTTCCATCACTGTACACATTTTCTTCTCAAATAGGGTCTAGAACTAAGTCTTTGTTGGGCTGATGGAGTTTGAACTAGTTTTTTCAAAGTAAAAACTTCATGAAAAGTTATAATTAAAATATTCTGCCTAGTGTATGCCATATCTACTAAATTAATGCCACCTCTACACCAAATTTGCATGTTTACGTGGTGGTTATTCATCCGAGTTTCCCTTCTGTGCATTAATCTTCAATATTATTTCTTTTATTTTTTATAGTCATCATGTTCATCAAGAGTAGCATTATTAATAATTTAAGTATTGAACAATTAAAGTGTTAAATTTAAACTATATATTTTATATTTGTTTAAACTTAAATATTGAATATAATTATATTATTTGATAAAAATAGATTTTAAAAGATGATATAATTAAAAGAAATAAAAATTATATAAAAAGTATTAAATATAATTTTCATTAAATGATAAATAGTTACTTATCTACATAATATTTTCTAATTTTGTCATCGAAAAACTCCAACAAATAGTTTTGAATTATTAATTTTCATTGAACTTTTTTAGTGAGTTATCATACAATCATAAATTAGAGGCTTTTTTTATAATTTTTTTTTTACCTTGAACACTGCTAACTCTTATTTACTTTACTCAATAGAGGAGATTATTAGGCGTTTAAATCCTTTCAAATTAACAATCATTTAAAAAATTTCTAGCATACATACCACGTAAGCTAGTTTTTGGGTGTGGTTTTGGACTAACACATTGAGTTAAATAGAAGCCACTCTTCGTTTTTTGTCTCCTTAAATTTCTTTTAGCACTTAATTAGTTCATTGAGGCCTGATTGTTCTTAATTTGTTTTTCTTTGTTTAAAACCGAAAATTTATGCTTCTTGCAAAGATTTCATGACAATATTATTTTTTTAATATATGTATATCTATATAAATCAAACAATAAAGGAAGAATATTAAAAATGAAAAATTGTAATTATCCCTTTAAAAATATTTAAAGTTTTATATCGAGAGTATTCCAGGTCTATAATAAGACAATTCTTTTGCTTTGTTTCGTTGCAATTAATTACTAGGGGTGAGTTTTTCTTTCCCAAAACATCACTTTTAAGTTTTTTTTCTGAAGATTTGTTTGATTCCCTCAGTCATGGCAATTCCTTTGCTTTCTTAGACATAACTCTTATGGTGACAAAGACTTACCAACACTCTTTGTAATTCAAGCAAAGTGAAAAAGATTACTTTTAGGTTCGAGCAGTTGTGTTTACAGAGCGTGTCAATAGATAAGAAAATTCTAAACAGACATTATCTTATAATCATATGATTTTTACAAAAAATAAATAAATTGATTGAACAAAAACGAAATTACATGCCCACCCAGTTTATCCTTTTTTGTTCATGATGTAATTATTTCCATTCTAACTAGGAATGAAATTGATCTATATATATATTTTGTGCATGCACGGTGACATAATGAAATCTGAAGAGGTGGCAAAGCTGAACGCAAACGAGTGGTACTTCTTCAGCTTCCGTGACTGGAAATATGCGACGGGGTTTCGGACTAATCGAGCGACGACATCCGGGTACTGGAAGGTGACAGGGAAAGATCGAACGGTGATCGACCCGATAACACAAGAAGTAGTGGGGATGAGAAAAACACTGGTGTTTTATATGAACCGAGCTCCAAATGGAATCAAAACAGGTTGGATCATGCATGAATTTCGTCTGGAGACCCCACATATGCCCCCTAAGGTCAGTTTTCCCACCCTCGCTGCTCATCTTTTTCAACCCTGGTCATCATATTTCTGCTTATAATGCATGGCCTCGAAAAGGACTGTGAGAGAAAGAAGGGTTGACAATTGAGGCCATTTGTATGTGAACAAAAAATATCGTGTTTTCTCCATGTAAACTTAAACAAAAGCTAGTGGGAATCTTCTACATATCCACTTGCTTTGTTCCATGCGTTTTCATAATCAAGTTCTTATGCATAAAAAAATGGAAATTTCATGGAAACTATATATGTATGAGCAGTGTCACATTTTCATATTATATTATTGTATTCTCTATTTGCGAATTTGAAATACGTGTAGGAATAGATATCACTAAGCTTTATACTTTATATATCTTTGCTTTTATTCCACCTTCTTTTTGGAAATTAATATAGTAATTTCGTCAACTTTTGAGATTCTTTATTAAAGAAATGTAGATAGATAATATATCAAAAAAATCATGTACAGTGATAGATAGAAAGTAAACGGTCGAGAGTAATTGTCTTCTTTGAAAATTTTAAATTTTTATATATTTTAAATATTTTCTTTATATTTTATTTATAATATATTTTCATCCTTTAAAATTTTATAAGTTTACTCACATAAAATACTATAACTTTGTCAATAATATAAAATCTTACGTTCATCTTAATTTACGTTAACTGTAAATAGTAAAAAAACAATTAAAATTGTTTTAGAATTTGCCAAGAAATTGAAATTGTTTTGGAATATGGCAGGAAGACTGGGTATTGTGTAGAGTCTTTCATAAGAGCAAAGAAAGGAGTCCCCACATGATGTACGACGCCTCAACTCAAACAAGCATGGCTTGCGGCGGGCATCAACAAATCAGCTGCTCTTTATCCACCACACCCGCACATCATCATCAACACCATGGCCAAAGCTTGCTAACCCTGCTCCATTCCTCTCAGCTAAAGAACAACAATGACAGCTTCAGCAATCATGAAGTTAGCTCAGGAGTCGTCGACGAAGATTACGAGTTCTTGTGGGACATGAACATAGAAGATAACTGCTTGGAGGATCGCCTTCATGTTCATGGCCATGAGGTGGCAGATTCCAACTTGGAGGATGTAAGATTTGAGAATGACAATAGCATGGTTTTCCTATGAAAATATATACATGATATTTCATATGATTTAGGGTAAAAAAAGAAAAAGAAAACAACCCCATTTGTTTATTTGTGATGTTTGTGTGGTGTTTGCCTTTGGATATACGGCTCATGTTACATTGGATAATAAAAGAATATTGTCATGTGCATTTTTTTCTTTTTTAGGATTAGGGTTCATTTATATTCTGTATACAACATTGGGCATTGTAAAAATTATGTGTAAGAATAAAGTATATAGCATTTATTTTTCACTGATCTTTTCCAAATAAAAATTACACTTGTAATGTATATAAATTAGTAATAAATAAATTATATATGTGTGTGTGCAAACGATTATATAATATTTTTAAAATTAATGTATTGAACAATAATTGTAAGTACAAATATACATTTGATTTTTTTTTAAAAAAAATACAAATATACATTTGTATTTTTGTTATTCGTCGAGATGTGGTCCATTTTAAGCATAGAGATTGCAATAATTGAAGGTTTCTCCTCCTGATATGACCTGGTGGGACCCGGGGGATGCTCATATTACAGTCCTCTGATCTCGACAATTCACAGTAACAAGACATAAGTTTTGGATGCAAACTCTCCTTATCTTATAATTACATTGGCATTGGATTAAATTTAAAGTCTTTATATACAAATTTAAATATTTAAACGTTTTAAAAGTATACTTCTAATATCAACGGGTTGATTCAAGTGATAAATAGTTTGATATTAGTTAAACAATATCTTAAATTTAAGTCCTTATATATGCATAAAATTTCCGTTGGGAGACTCACCCACCAAAATTAATTTGCAACACGAGTCGGTTGAATTAGTCAAGGTAAAACCTTGAAACCGAAAAAAATAAAAAAATATAATTCTAATACAAGTATCTATATCTAATTTATTAATTGACTAATATAAATTGAATATTATAAAATATATTATGAGAGCCGTCTTCTAATCTCTTTTACTTTATTCACAACATTAAAATTTAAATTTATTATCTAATTTAAAAAATTTAATATCTAGTATCACTGTAAAAAAAAAGATAAATAATATGTTATTCACAAAGAGGCACAAAACAAGTGAGCAACGACAGTCCACCCACAAAAATAAGAGCTAAAATAAAATCCAGGACACTTGTATGCACGTCAAAGACAAAACTTAAGCATGAACAAATATAAACTCTGTAGAACAAGAGCGGCAGCCAGCACCCAAAGCAAAAAGGGGCTTATCCTTTCCACCGTGCTTTGAAGACAATGAGTTACAAGACTTGCATCCACTACGCATTCCTAGCCACATGGCCACGGTGGCTAATTGAGAACTAGTAATCAACTTTTGAAACCATGAACACTGATCAACACTATTAGGGTTCATCAACAATAAGAAAAGAGAGGCAATACTCTCCAGATTTTACTGATAAATTCCTGTAACATCTCAATAAAGACCAGAGTAATATATACAGACAAGAGATTTGTCATCAGTTGTGAACAATCTAACAACTATACTAACCAAGAGATAATTGATGCCTAATAATCTAACTTCATCAACAACAGACTCAAGACTATTACATTCATAACACTCACTTTACTATCTAGCTTCCAAAACAACTCGATACCAATAACAAACCATCATCATGCAAAAAACAAATAACACATCAATGCAGAAATATAACAAACAACAATACATGTCACTTACCATCAGTAACCATACGAAGAACTCCCAGTTTATTTCTACATCTAACAAAAAACAAGCCATATAGAGATTTAGTTATAACATCTGCCACTTGTTCACGTGCAAAAACTTCACCACCTGCAACTGTCGTAACGTGACCTTCTCACGAAAAAAAAAGTATTCATCTCAACATGCTCAAACTTAGAGTGCATTACTGAATTTCAAATACAGCTACAACACTCAAATTATTACACCACAACACAGATTTTCCATCAGGAATAATATAAAGTTCCTGCAGTAAAGACTCTAGTCAAATTACCTCAGTCGTTGCGTAAGCCATAGTTCGATACTCTGCTTTAGTTGTAACATATAGTAGACCCCCAACAATATTCCTATACTCGGTGAGATTTAAAACGAGATTCTCACTTTAAGTAGACAATCTGCAACTGATCACCATAGGAGCAGGCAACCCTTTATCTTTCTGAAGATCACATTAAGAGAAACTCATCGATGTATTTCCTCTCACTAAGGAAAAGATCATCTTCAGTGTAACAGACCTAAATTCCCAAAAAATATTTTACTTTTTAAGATTCTTTAGAGAAAAAACAGTGTCAAGATAAATTATGACTCTTTATATCCTATTATAATTATTTTCCGTGAGAATAATATTATCAACATAAATCAAGAAATAAAGCAAAATATCACCAGTGTTCCTAACAAATAGAGAATCATCATATTTTGATACAACAACCTTCATAAACCAAAAAGTCCACGAGTTTCTTAGACCACGCTCGTGAAACTTACTTTAACCCATAAATAGCCTTGTTCAAATGATACGTGACTGTCTTCTTATCACCCTACTCATATCCAGGGTTGAGGCGTATAAGCCTCAGCTTAGTCTCCATTAAAAAAGGCATTATTGATGTCAATTTACCTAAGTCTCAATTTCTTTACAACTGCCACAAATAAAATTTTACGAACAGTAGTCAGTTTAACCACAAGGCTAAATATTTCATGAAAGTCACGTCCATTGTTGTAAGTAATCTTTTGTTACAAGTCTTGTCTTATGTCAAACAACAGAAATGTCATCATTCCTCTTTAACTTAAATATCTACTTGCATCCAACAGCTGTACGATGAGCAGGCAGCTTGGTTAACATCAAAGTATTATTTTTGATTAAGGCATCATACTCAGATTGAGCCGCTTTCTTCCAAGACAGACTCCTTATTGTTTATTAATCATACAAGGTTCATCATCTAACTCAATCACAGTTATCCTATTGGCATAAAATACATTTGATTTTCCAATCTCACTTTTAACTCCTAGTCTGTATAAAATGTTTGTTTTCCGTAACTATATAGGACTGAACCTCACCACTAGGTAAAACATACTTTGAAATGATGATCCCTTTCTGGAAGCTATTACCACAATCACTAGTACCAACAGTATTAAGAGAAGTTGGCTCTAAGAAAACACTCTCAGAAGCACAACCAACATGGGCAGGGGATACAACTGAGAAAGTACATGGAACAACATCCTTAGAAATCTGCACATCACACAAAATTAAAAAAAAATACTCATCATTAACTGTATCAACATTAGGATTTCCTTGAACTAGAGTTTCATCAACAACCACAACTGGTGTGCTCCGAACAAAAACAACAGCAAGAACACTTCTATCAGTAGAGGTAACAACACCAAGGGGAAAATTGCTAAAACACCTATAAAAAATAGCCTTCATTGCCCGAAAATTTCATGTAACATTCAAATCCGATCTGACACGAAATCTGGAGGATTTGAACTTTACACAGAACCAACAAAGTGATTAATCTTTTTTTTTTTTTTTTTGAAATCATTACTCATAATCATCAGAGTTTTAAAAATAGGGAGGTCCCAAAATAACATCTAAAAACCATCAGAGTTGAACAAAAAAAGTTATGGTATACATAAGGTATATGAAGTACATGCCCTCTAAAATAATCGAGACATACTCTGAAGCTCGACGGAATCCATAATCTGACGATAAGCTCCTTAACTAGCACCTAAGAACCTGCAAATGAAAACATTTTTGAACATTGAGCTATGAACCTAGTGTCACACAAATAACTCCACTACATGCATCTAATAAATGAGTATGCCAACAAGTATAGTCATGGAGCAACGAAATGCATAAAGCATTGATTCACAATAAAACAATGAGTGTAGTTCAGAGTAACGAAACATAGTGGCAATGCCATCATATAACTAAAGTGCCTTAACACTGATACTAAAGTGTCTCATCACTGATACGAAAGTGTATTAGCACTGATACTAAAGTGCCTTAGCATTGGAGGGAATATATCTGAATATTTCGCATTCATATACTTTAGACAATCGTTGATCCTTTAAGTAGTTTGGTGTCCTCATTGTTTTTACGAATATCAAACAAAGGCATAAATCTTATGAAATATTACATCATAACGTTCTTATGCTTATCACACAAGTATTATGGTATCTCACTTGATAGCTTTTGTTATTAATGTCATTGATCCTTAAACCCCCCACTCGAATCTCGAAGCTAAACGAACTAGCTCATTTCTGATTCATGATGGTGCTGGTACTCAACCCTCTAGTACTGATACTCCTCTCTTACGGTATTTGTATTATATCGAGTATCAATACCCAAAACACATTCGATGTTTTGAAAGACCTTATAGTATTGATACTTTAATATAGGGTATTGTTACTACTCTCTTAGAGTATCGATACCAACTCTGGGTATTAATACCAAATTTGAATTTGACGTTTAGGAAATTAATTCAATATTGATACTTTTACTTAGAGTATCAATACTTATTCTTTGTGGGGTTTCGATACTGCTCCATTTCAATACTAAATTGGCTACTAGAATTTGCAACTTATCAACGATATCAATACCTTTTCCTTAGTATCGATACCCTACGAACAATATCAATACCTATGAATAGAGTTTCGATACTACCTTACCAAAACCCTTGACTTTGGCCTTCCAGACAAAAAATATCGATACTATTCATCCAGTAGTGATACCTCAAACTTAGAAAACTCTAATTTCTTATGAGAAAGTTACTTCTTTCCTACCCAAAGCCCTTCTAAGGTCCTCAAATGTTATTTAATTCTTGTGAGAGTTTAAGTGGATCATAATATGTCATTTTCATGTATGAGAAACATCAAAACACCCCATTTCTCTCACGAATACAAAGATACCCATTATGCACTCATGCACTCATACAAGCAAGCAATCAACACTTAGTGATCTGCAAGCATTATAGATGAGTTAGGAATGTATTACCTTGATCCTAGTGGCTGGAAAAATACCTCAAGGTCACCCAAGCACATGTTTCTCTTTGTTTTTACCTTTGGAGCTCTCTCCAACTTCCCTCACTAATCAAAAGTAAGGAAACGAATTACTAACTCGTTTTAGGACTTAAAAGGAGTATAAACATGATTTCTAACCGTTAGAAACGAAATGGAATCATCCTACAGCCTTAAACCCCAAAACCCTATAGAACCTCCACCTCCAAGACCAAACCTTAAGATTAAGAGCTTAAAATGAAGTTCTAGGTGAGGAGATTATAGTACTTACCTTCACACTGGAGCCAAGAAAAAGACGTTGTCTAGACCGAAAGTCTAGTGTGTTGATTGAACGGACATAACAACGTGTAACTGGCACAACCGAACACTTGAAAGAGAATAGTTTGGCTTCACGCTAAACTGCACCTCATGAGAGGACTTATTATCCAACATCATAGTTGGAAGTCTGTTGATGCGATAGATAGTTGTAGTAAAAGCATGACTCCACAAATTATTTTTAAAATAATAATTTTTAAAGGTGATTCAATCATACATTAAAAATGGCAAATTTGTTCGGATAATGAGGTGGGAAGAAAATTCCCATCTATTGCACCTTCATAAGTATTCTCTCAAGCAAGGTGCTTTTAACAGTAACATGGGGAAGAAGCATGGAGCAAAGGAGTCTTCACGAAGATACATGAATTACATGGCGTCTTTTGCATAACTCGAGCGATGTAGAGGAAGATAACCATGCAGGAAGCTTTCGGACTAAAGACGTCATGTCGTCTTGACGTCTTCCGACATACATTATATCAATCATCCTACTTGAAAAAAAATAATTCCCTCATACCTTTGATGTATATATAAAAAATTTCTCATCACATCATCAAGGCAATTTTCACCCTTAAAACATAAAGATTGGTGATGAATCTATTAATTTTTACGAAAAATCTATTTGACTTAAGAACCTTCTAAGTATATTCAAATTGGTGATACCATTAATTATTATCGTTAAGACGAGGACAAAAAAATTATAGAAGACAATCTTAATCAGTCAATGAACATGTAAATTTATTATTAATTAGAATATTAATGAATGAATTTTATGTTACATTAATTGTGCGACTGAATGATAGTAAATATCAATATTTTTTTTAGTCTTCCAGTCTCCAAGGTTTTGCCTTAACTAATAACGATCGATTCGAGTTGCACACATGATTTTAGTGGGCGAGTCTCTCAGCGAAGATTTTTTGCATACACAATGACTCAAACTCGAAACTTACTTAAACGATATCAAACTGCTTACCACATGAACCAACCTGGTTAGTACCAACATTAATACTTTAATGATCTTAAGTAAATTATAAAATCATTAATTTAGATATACTAATAACATTTAGTGATTAAATCTCAAATTTTATCTTAATAGAAAAACTAAAACAATTATACCAATACATTTTAAATGAAATAAAAAATAAATTTTCATTTTAATATTTTGTTCAATTTATAAAAAGAGAAAGTAATAATTGTTCCTTCTATTTGTTCATTAGTAAGAGAAAAACGTCTTGAAATTTATCAATTTTTCAATATATATATATATATATATATTAACATCAGCTTAAATCCCCATTCCCCACTACTCTCGATAGCTTTAAGTAGAATTAAAAATGAAATAAAAAGGGAAAGAATTATTCTAAATCTGTAACAAAATCCCCCAAAAGAATCGCCGTCTGCATCTGAAACTAACAAAACGACAATATTCATTGTCGCTTAACTTTGTCTCTGTCCTTTTTGTCTCCTTTTTTATCTTTTTACTTACACTCCTAAAATCTAAAACAGCTTTTAACATTCTGAAAAACCTCTAAACACCATACATAGTTCATATATGTTTCCATTTTTGTTTGTCCAGACGTGATCTTTCCTCTTTTAGCAAATTTCCTTACAGGTAAGTAAAGAATACTAAGCTACACCAACATGCACAAATTCTCCACCTTTTTTCCTTGTTTTAAACGTTACATTTATTAATTAATCATCTCTTCATTATTATTAATTTGAAGCTTTGAAAGATTGAACTGGGAAACTGGACTTGTTTCTCTTAATAATAATTTTTTTTCAATACTATTGGTTCATTATTTATGTCATTTAAGCACCGGTAATCAGGAATGGATCGAGGAACGAGGGGAACAACCACTCCTCTAAAAATTTCAAACTATCGTTTATTTTATTATATATATATATATATATATATTATATTTGCATTTATATTGATAATCTATTTGTCTCTTAGAATTTTACAAGTTCACCACTCATAACATAAAATATGCTACCAATGCTTGTTTAATGGCTTCTATTGGATTCAATGCCCTGTTACAGGATAATGATATAGTCCTTAATGTGGTCTTATTTCATGCATTCATTCATTATAATCAATGGTTTTTATTTCATTAATGGCTTGTGTTAAATACATGTATATATGTTTCTTGTTCTTCAAATAATTATGAATTTTGTATTGCTTTTTTGTTTTTCAGTTTTGGACATGCAACCAAGGAGGGTTCAAGAAAAGATGTTTGAAATTTGAGGTTTTCTGTTTGCATGAACTATTGATTGTTAGTTTGGATGATCTAAAAAAGATATGACAAGGGGAAGAGCTGACGTAAATCCGAAGAAACGGTTAATCACTTGGATTATAGTGTTGGTATTCTGTTGCGGTTGCTTCTATGCATATACTCGAAGCCGCAGTTCATTGGCTCTCGAGTATGGAAGTAAATCTTTGAGGAAATTCGGTTCTTCGTACTGGAGTGGGGAGGATGATACTAATACCGATTCTTCGACTAGAATTGAAGAAGATGCCGATGATAGCTTCATTCCAAAGAGTTTCCCTGTGAGTGAACCCTTAATATTAAGCCAACCTGTTTGAAATTTTGCAGCTGTATTTGTTTATGGAGTACCTGATATCACAATTGTTTTGGTTTCGAAGGTTTGTGATGATCGACATTCGGAGATAATACCTTGCCTGGACAGGAATCTTATATACCAAACAAGATTGAAGTTGGATTTAGCTGTAATGGAACATTATGAAAGACATTGTCCGTTGCCGGAAAAACGTTACAATTGTTTGATTCCTCCTCCACCCGGATACAGGGTTAAGTGTTACAGTCTAGTTTTGTAAAGTTCTTATGTTTGTTATCAGATGCAGATTTAAGGCATTACAGTGTTTTCGGTTCATTTGTGGTTGCAGGTCTCAATCAAGTGGCCAAAAAGTCGGGATAAAATATGGAAAGCGAATATACCACATACTCATCTTGCAACCGAAAAATCCGACCAGAGATGGATGGCTGTCAAGGGTGACAAGATTGTTTTCCCTGGTGGAGGAACTCACTTCCATTATGGAGCAGATAAGTATCTTGCTTCCATGGCAAATGTGAGTAACTTTTGTAAGCTAAAACACTGACTATTTGACATATTGCAATCATCATATTCATGTGTTTCAATTGGCAGATGTTGAACTTTCCGAATAACATTATGAGCAATGAGGGAAATGTCCGAACAGCTTTCGATGCGGGATGCGGAGTTGCTAGTTTCGGAGGGTACCTGCTATCACATGATATTCTTACAATGTCTGTAGCACCAAATGATGCTCATCAGAACCAGATTCAGTTTGCTCTGGAGCGAGGAATCCCTGCGTATCTCGGTGTTTTGGGGACAAAGAGGCTTCCTTATCCAAGTCGATCTTTTGAACTTGCACATTGTTCTCGTTGCAGGATCGATTGGCTTCAAAGGAATGGGATCCTTCTTCTAGAGCTAGACAGGATTCTGAGGCCTGGAGGCTACTTTGCCTTTTCATCCCCTGAAGCATATGCACAAGATGATGAAGATTTGAGAATTTTTCGAGCAATGAGTTCCGTCGCCAAACGGATGTGTTGGAAGATAGCGGTTAAAAGGGAGCAAACTGTTATTTGGGTTAAACCATTGACAAATGACTGTTATATTCAAAGAGAGTCTGGTACTCTACCTCCGATGTGCCGATCTGATGACGATCCTGATGCTGCCTGGGGCGTTCCAATGGAAGCTTGTATCAGTCCTTACACTAATCGTGAGTACTTTTTCCCTCTGCCCCCTTCACTGAAACTAGACACTTATCATGTTGTTTCCGACCCTAACAGAAGTTCATAGAGCAAAAGGGAGCGGCTTGGTTCCTTGGCCTGCACGTTTGACAACACCTCCACCCCGTCTTTCCGAGTTAGGATACTCCGATGATATGTTCGTAAAGGACACGGTAATCTCTCACGAAACTTTAATACCTCTCCATGTCTGTCATGGCTGAGTTGGTTGATGTGTTGCAGGAACTTTGGCAACAAAGAGTAGAACACTATTGGACTATTTTCGGTCCGCATCTCAAGCCCGACACATTTCGAAACGTAATGGACATGAAAGCAAATCTAGGTTCATTCGCAGCTGCTCTGAATAACAAAGACGTTTGGGTTATGAATGTAGTGCCTGAAGATGGGCCCAACACGCTCAAGATAGTATATGACAGAGGACTACTAGGAACCCTGCATAACTGGTATTTAAACCCCTTCTTTTCATATGCCTTGAACTGTTGTATCCGTTGCTAAGAATCGTGTCCCCGGAAACCGACAGGTGCGAAAGCTACTCAACGTATCCTAGAACATACGATCTGATTCATGCTTGGACATTGTTCTCCGATATCGAAAAGAAAGGGTGTAGCATAGTGGATTTGTTGCTGGAGGTGGACCGTATCTTGAGGCCGAAAGGTTACTTCATTTACAACGATAAACGGTCGATAGCGGAGGTGATAAATAAATATTTAGGAGCATTACATTGGGAAGCAGTGGCAATGGTGGACTCCCAGCTGGTTGAGCAAGATGAGGACGATGTAGTGTTCATAATTCAGAAGAAAATGTGGCTCACAAGTGAAAGCCTTAAGGAATCGGAATAAACACTGATTTCAATTCATATTCCTATTCTGAGTTTATATTATTTAGTTTCATTACTAGGGGCTTGTGTTAATGCCAATGATGTTTTTTGTAGCTCTGTTTTGTTCTTTTAAACCATCTGTTTATCTTCTTTTTTGTCTGATTTTTCATCCTTATTCTTTATCAAACTATTCTTTCTTGAGTTCTTAATCAAAAACAATTTATTTCGATAAAATGCTAGTTTTAACAACTTTGGAAGAGTTTCCATGCACCTTTACCTGTTCCCTTTTCCCGATATTATTGTATAAATTCATCCTTGTCCTTGAAAATAAAATACGAAAGGAATTAAGATATAATACAAGTATATATGTTAACTACATGCAAGTTTCTATGAACAATTTGTCCCTAGTAATGATTATCATGTAGTTTACTTTTATATCAATTTAATAATACTAGTCGTTAACAACAACTATATTTGGTTGATTGGTCAAGCTACTCATATTTATTCTCTTATGGAATATTTCCTTAGCTCATGAATTTCAAGCCCTGAGCACTTCCCTTCCTTTCCTTATCCTTTAGGTTTAAAATCTGTAAAAAGATAAATAATAGTAGACATTAATAAAAATATCTGTATATATGTTAATTATATAAATAATATATATTTATTTTGAATATCATTTAATACGTTAATTATATTAATATATGATGGATGTAAAATTTAGATAAATTTCAAGAAAAAAGTTCAATAAATTTTAAACCAATGCCTTTCAATTTAATATTGGAGGTTAATATTATTTAAAAAAAATTGAGAAAAACTTAATAAAAATATGTCATTCAATAATCTTTCGTGAATCAAAAGTGTGTTATCACACATTAAATATTGTTATTAGACATACCCTCCCTTACATTATTTGAGATTACTTGGGAACTGCTCTTAAGCATGTTATTTATTGTTTTAATTGATTTTTTTTAATAAATCCGAACACATTTGAAATGGAACAAATCAAACCATATACTATTTTAATAAAAATAAACTGACATATCTTGATTTTATATTGTATCTAATTTAACCTTCAAAGCTCAATCCGAAATCTAACAAGCTTGAGTTCCAACTCGTTGAAGTTCAAACTCAATTTTAAATTAGAAATATATTTTGGGTCGAAGGAGGGGTTTGCACGGATGTTGCTGTCTTTCAACATAACTAGGACTAGAATTCGTAATATTAAATGCTGTCAAAATGGGCCTACAAAATCTGAGTTAAAAATTGTTCAAAAACCTAATTTATTCTCTCTCCATTCCCAGGCTCAGGCGGATTTCAACTTGGCTGATGCGGCGGCAAGATGTGAAAGGATTCTATGTCCAATAAACACAAGGAAAACTACCAAGAAACCCAATACTTTCAGTGTTTGGAATAGATCCAACTGCACCCACAACATACAAATTTAATGTCTTCAAAAACTATAAATGGACGAATGAACAAAGCAGCTTGTAAGTGCATGATAAAATACTAACCTTTAACCAGAAAAACACGTAGAGCAATAGAACTGCTCCAATGCCAACGTGGAAGAGAAAGGCAAATGCGGCAGGTACGGGTTTGGAGGGAAAGTTCTTCATGTTCACCCCTAGTCGTAATAACTGTCAAAAGCAAGCAACATCAATAACGTTTGAAAATAACAATGACTACATTATTAACGTAAAATATTACTATGACATGCAAGAACAGGACCAGAAATAGTAAACAGTATATGATACATCATTTGCATGTGTGCGCCTTCAAAATTGACTTGATAGCTTAGCAGCTAGACTGACAATGCAATGCCATGTTCTACTGAGACCACTTAACAAGCTCCAAAGAATGCTATTCATCAGAAACCTTTAAATTTTCCAGGACAGATATCAAAGATCCCAATAACCACAAAACCCCTCTTCTATTTTTGTTTTCCAATATCTCTGAAGCAGTCGATGGTTTTCCCCTAGAAAAATACAGCGAACCATCCCAAAACAGAAACACACAGTTATGAGAAGAATACATGGGCCGGGTCCAGAACAATGTTGATTTAACCAATGAATTAAAACTTCCAAACAAGTTTAGTGTATAAGACCAATCCGACCAGGATATAAGGCGACACCAAACAATTTGACTGAGAATAAAAGACTCAAGTAAATCAATTTGAAATTTGGATACCGCTAACTTTCTGGTTCAATGAAAAATATAAAATAGCAAAATACAGGACTAACCCCAATAAAAAATCCAAGCAATGGCAATATGGTAAGACCCAGGAAAGCAAGGGAAAGCTCTTGAGGTGGACGCTTTTCAGGAGCTCTGAAGATGTGTGTTATCTCTGCTTTGGGTCCATATCTTGTGTAAGGATCTATAGCCTGCAGAGGAGGGCGGGTTGCCTTCTCAGGTGCTTGAGGTAGATCTAACTCAATGTATCCAATAGCTACTAAAAAAGAGTTCTCCTGAAGAGGGCAAAAGATGTATATTTATTTGTACGTGTTTGTGGACTCATATAAATTGAACATTTCTAAAAGCAAGAGCAACACTTACCATAGCAGAATCACCAACAGTGAATTCCATGTCATATTTACCTGAGAGATAGAAGAACTTCTCAACCAGCCCAAGAAAATTCTACAAGACAAGCAATATAGGATTATTGGTAATTTAAAGAAAACACACATTGTACAAAGCACATAAACCTGAATATTTTAATCTGTTAGTAAATAGAATAAACTATAGATGTATTCTTGTTTCCAATGAAAATAGGCATATCACATGGCATATGAAGTGAAGAGACATCCAAACTACATTAAATGTCTAATTTTTTTAATCAGTAACACAAATCCAGAAAGATATTCACCCCATGAAATAAAGGATACTTAACTAGAACTATCTCAAAATGTTTTCCAGAGTTTCCGACCACAAAAATGTGCTCAACCTTGCTCTCATGTCTCAACTTGAGAAATGCCTGCAAGCCACAAAATTAGCAACAAACTGATCCAAAGCAAACCACGCATTCAAAATGAAGACAAGCAGAACTACCAACCTGATGTGGCTTAAAAGCAAGTCCACGAGGAGTGGTTAACCGAAAGGATAGACGCATCTTCTGGAGGTGGTTTGCTGATAATGATACAGCATTTTTAGCAGTTAAGTCTAGCCTGTATATTTCGAACATAAGAACATGAATTAAACTTTACATCAAAGTACAGTTGAATAAAAGCTCAAACACTAGGAACTAACTTTTAGAAGTGTCATCAGATGTTCCTAAACAATTATAAATTATATCAATTATAGGTATTAAAAAAACCAACAAAATATGAAAAAAAAAATACAAACATACTTGCTCTGTGATTCTACACTCCCAAGATCACTGTCAAGAACCACAATTTCAGAATTTTCAATTCTGACAAGTCCTGTGACAAATATTGGTACTTTTGTTTGGCTTCCCGTAACATAAACCTTTTCATCGTCAGGTTCTTGAAGCACAACCTAAAAAATTCAAACTTCATATGTCTTAGAAAGACCAATGAACTTAAAGCTTCAATCCAAGAATATATACAATGATACCTCAAAAACAAATGTGTAACTTCCAACATCAATAATCTCTAGCAAGTCGTTCAAGATGTGTAGCCCAGATCCTTGGTCAAACTTAAGTTCCTGAATTTCATAATATTTATAAGCATTAAATCAAACTAAACAGAAATAAAGGAAAATGAAAAAGAAAATTTGTAAGAAAGTACATCCAATAAAATGACCACTACTTGAGGAAACAAAATACCTGGCTTTCAACTAGAGATGCATCCTTTGAAACAGAACTAAAAACACCCACAAGCTTCACAGTTAGAGGTGGTGCATTTGAACCAAGCACTGTAGCAACTCTAACCTGTTTCATTCAACAAACAAAAATAAAATAAAATTCAGAAATAACAAAACCCCAAAACGAGATTAGATAATTTCAATTCTAGCATAATCAAGGAGGGTTAAGTATAAAAGGCAACTGAAAAGCAGGGTCAATTACAGAATAATTGACCAGCAATATGCATCATAAATTGGACACAGAGGAATGAGACTTGAAAACGATTACATTTTGATAAACAGACCAGAGAAAAAAGGCCAGCATATACTCCATCAAATGACACAAGTACCTTCATTAAGATCTAAAACTGCCGTGTACTTAAGAAGAAAATGGAAATGCCACTAATATCAATACCATCAATCCTTGGATGGTAGGTTTCTGCCACTATAGAGGAATTTAAGTATCTACTCACGGTTGTTCATGTTCGGGATTTTAACTTTGGACAAACCTTGAGTGAGTCTTTTTTAGTCAATGAAAGCACAGCTGCTGGAAGTGATAAGATCAATGGGATAGAAACCCTGCATGCCAAGTAAAATTTAAGATCTATTATGCTCCAGAGCGTCGTTATATAAAACCAAAGAAAAATGTTGACATCAGCACACTAAAACTACTGATCTCTCAGTCACAAAAGGCATAAAGCAAGTAAGAAAACAAGTTTACAAAAACTGATCTCAATTCCAGATTATGCAAAATGAAGTTCACAAAAGGCATGTGCATAACTTCTTGCTCTCTTTCGAGGATCAACTACAGAACATATTATTCAAGAGTGACAGAAATTCAACCAAGGTTAAGATTTTACTATCATAAAAGGCTATTCGAATAATTAAATAACAGGAATGGTAGCAAAAAAATAATATCTATCATCAGATTGTATTATATAAATGAAATATGTTAAAACTGCTTAAAGAAAAACCTTGCCTGTTGCTATCCAAACAAGCACAGGCATCTATTTGGTAGAAGAAATCTTTAGCATCACCAGGAACTCCAATACCAAGGAAGAATTTAGCTAATCCGAGCATTTTGTCCCGTGGAAGCTGCAGATATATAAACCAGAAGTACTAGACTGCACTCTGAGAAGAAAAGATAAGTGGGATAAAATGAATGATACTGGAATTCTCTTTACAGACATCGATATTTCCGGTAGTCACTGCAGCAAATGCTGTTAGCCCTCTAAGAACCGAAGATGTGGCTGATAAAGGACCTTTATATTCATAACCATCAACAAGTTTATCATCAAAGTAAAGGGTCCCATCACCTGAAAAGGAGAATTAATAGAAATGAAGAACCAAAAAAAGTACAAACTAAAAAAGAATTACTAAATTGAGTAATAATATTCACTATTTTTTTACTTGAGAGATGATGAATGGAAGTAAAAGGGAATAAAAAGATTTTGAAGAAAATAAGAAACAGAAAAAGACAAAAAACACAACGATTCTAGGAAGAGGAGAGATATACATACCATATTTCTCAATGCTGTCAAAAAGCTTGCTTATATCATTTTTTAGAGTACTAATCTGCCAATAATAAGCAAACATATATTATGAAATGCCCAGACTTGACACACAGACAAGAACAACAAAATAAGAATTGAGATTTTTGCTAATTGAATAAGCATCTAAAAATAAATAAATATCCAGTAACATGTACTAATCCTTGCTAATATTGCTTTAAAAACATGTGTATTTAGATGCATACACATCAATAAGCTAGATATCCCACATGGCATTGCTAAAAGTCCAAGTAAATCATGGTACTAGAAAACAACCAATAAGAGAACATCTTATCGTCCAAATAGAGCTGATAGTGATTCAGAATCATAAAGTAGTCAAAAATCTCAACAGCTGAAAGCAAGAACAAATACTTACCAAAGATTGGTCAAGTTCTGAAGATGCTAAAGAAACAATTCCAGCTAGAGTTTCAAGTGCTATTCCTACAAGAATATCACAAACCTAAATAAGCAACTATTGCACAATTAAAACAAACAATTAATAAATGTGAAGAATGCAAACAACAGCTACCAAAGAGCTAAGACCAAAGAAAGAAAAGAAAGCAATATGGTGCTTGTATCGGACATTGTATTTGAAGGGGGGGAAGTTATAGAATCCAGAAAAATCGTTACCAGCAGCAAAAGCACTAGACTCAAGATTATTTGAACTATAACGCCACCTGCCATCACTCTGGCTGAAAGCCTGAAACATAAAACCAACCATGACAAACATATATTAAGAACAACGTAAATTGGAGCTGGCTGAAGCAGTGAGCGTCCTCCCCAAACCTGGATAGATCTGGGGAGGTCCAGAACTTTAACCTCGCCATAAAACTAAATCTAGTTATAACAACAAACCTTGACTGAGCGGAACACTCCTTCAGCATCAGCAAGTTGAAGATCATCTTTGGAACTCTGATCCTGAATTGGCAAACCAGGCATTAGGAGGTAGGGGCAAAACAAGAAACAACTTAAAAGCTATAGCAGTTATAAAAAAAATAATTCGAATGGATAAAAATCATAAAATTTGTTGGGAGTACTCATAAAACTGATTAAATAACTGCAAAGAAAGAAGTACATCATAATAACCAGTATTTTGAATTCAATCATTACCTTGATAAGTACCAAACCTCCTACTGAATAGTAAAAGTCGAGCAATGAACTTGAACCACTGACAGCAGAATTAAGGCTTGAAATAATGCCCTTTTGCAAATGAGGAAAAAGAAGGCAACAACAAAATTAAGCACCTGGGTTAAACAAAGTGGAAAGCTCTTAAACCACATGTCAGTGTACCAAATTCAAATAATACCTTAGAAGCTTTCGCATGTATCTTGCATTCTGCTATGCTATTTGCTTTTAAAGCATAGAAAAGATCCTTCGGGGTTGATGATAGTGACCCAACAGTTTCAGAAATTGAATGGCAAGCTGCAGCGGTTACATCAGGCTTCTTTTCAATCCCAAGAATCTGAAATGTTCTTAGTGCCTCGTATGTTTCTTCCAAGCTGTTTAGATCAATTATATCAAATAAGATACTTTTCTCATAGGTCTCTTTTCAACTTCCAATTCAAATGAAAGAAAAACCAAGTTCTCATCAATTATACTTTTCTTAAAAAAAATGTTTATGTTTGAATAAGGTGTTATCCATAAACTGGAAAAATAAGTACTAGATTTTAAGTATTGAATTTATAAGCACTGAATTTGTATCATAAAAACATGCTAAACGTATGTAAATGTTGAATTTGATAATTATGAATTCCACAAGTTTAGCTTCATTACATTTTACAATTATACGGGGCGATTTAAAACAAATATTAAAACGTAAATTAAATGTTTCATTCGTTCCAATTAAAGAAAGAGGTCATGAAGTTTTAAACATAAATTTTCCAAAAATGGGGAGTAACATGTTATAAAAAGAGGTAATAATGCATAACCTACTTACGAAAAAATTTTACCACTGAAATATTTCTCTTCTCAACGAGTTATTAAAAATATACTAAATGGAACATTTCCTTCGGATTTCTTTCCTTAACAGCCAACGGAGACACAGAGTTTGAGTAAAACCTTTTGAATGATCCATGGTCGAGAGTGAAGAGCTCAAGAGCGGCAGATCGATGAGAATCGGAGATTGGTTGAAAAAGCGGAGCCGCTTCGCAGATCGATACAACAAGCAACAGAACCAGAAATCTAGCTAGAATTCTGGCCATTTCCTGCAAATTAAATCCATCAACTGAAATATATTTTCAAAAATACTAAAAAATTATAGTATTTAAAAAGATTTCAGAATAGATCGGAAATAACCTGTGAAATTAATAGGGTTTATTAGATCGCGATAAAGAAAACGTACGATAAATGTGAAAGAAATTCGTCTTCTTCTTTTTTTCCTGGGGAAGTCTTCGCAGTCTTCGTTGTGCGGGTTATGGAGTGAGGCCGAGCTAAGAAAGGAAGTAGCAGTAGGGAGAAACTTACAATTACCAGTTTGTCCCACCAATTTTTCAGGCTAGGCCCAAACGTTTAACGCCATGACTTAATTTGGGCATGAACTTCAACCCATCAGCCATTAGCCTTAATTTTTAATATTAAAATATTTTTTTATTGAAACTATTATGTTGTTTTTTAATTTGATAGACAAGAGTAACATTAATATAAAAATATGCTCAATATAATCCAACATTATCCACCAACCTCTCTCATTTTTTTTTTTTTATAATTTGTGTCAATTTTATTGATCAATCTAACTTTTTTTTTTAATTTTATTTAACTGACAGTGGCAAATGCTTTGAAGTTGGTTGCCGCCCTTCGATTATATTTTTCTTTGCCTTTTAGTTTTTTAATAAGAATAATTATGTCTTTTTGACACGTTCTTTACCTTTATGACACGTTTATATTTACCTTTGTGGTATGTATTTCTCTGTCTTTTAGTAGTTTATATTTTTTTCCGTTGTTTTCTTTTATTTTTTGCAGGGTTGTATTTGACATCGCCACGACTAATCAAGATGACACTTATTTGTTATCATGATGATTTTCCCTGCTTTTGACCCTTTGATTAATTTGGATACGCGTTTTGCGTAGTTTTCTCACATTGTTTGACTCTGATTTTTGATTTGTCGGTGGTCTTTCATAGTTTCATCTCCTTTGTGGTTCGTTTTCCGATGCAGTCAGATTTGTTCTTATTTATTTTATTCGAGCGTTGGTTAGGTTTTTTCACTTTTTCCTTTTATGGTCCTTATGTAATATAAGTAGCTAGTTTTGTGTTAATGATTATAGAAAAATATCCTAATTATAATTTAGTTTATGATTATGCTCGTAAATATTTATTATAATTCTAAATATTTTATATTTTTAATAAAACTAGTGATTTTCTATGTGTGTGTTCAATATTTTTTTGGTATAAAAATACCAATGTCTCTTTGATCTCGATAGATATTTTGTTCATCAATTATTTAATATTATTATATTTTTAAAATTTCGAATTTAACGAATCTCATTTTTTAGAAGAAGCAAATTTTTTAAAAGATTATTTTTAATATTATTATATTTGATTATCTTTTAAATTTTTTTCTTATTCTGAAAAATGAGATCCATTAAATTCGAAATTTTAAAAACATAATAATATTAAATAATTGATTAAAAAAAAAACCCTACCATGATCAAAGAGACCTTGGTATTTTTATACAAAAAAAAATATTGAACACACATATAAAGCCGCTAGTTTTATTAAAAATAAAAAATATTCAGAATTAGAATAAAGATTTACGAGCATAATCATAAACATAAACTAAATTATAATTAGGTCATTTTCTATAATCATTAACACAAAACTATCCATCTATATCACACAAGGACCATAAAAGGAAAATGTGAAAAAAAAACCTAACCAACGTTCGAATAAATAAATATAAGAACAAATCTGACTGCATCGAAAAGTGAACCACAAAAGGGGATAAAACTACTGAAAAAACTATCGACAAATCGTAAATTAGAGTTAAGCAACGTGAGAAAACTATCCACGAGCGTAAAACACGTATACAAATCAATCCAAGGGTCCAAAGCAGAGAATATCAACATGATAACAAATAAGCGTCATCTTGATCAGGCGTGGCGATGTCAAATACAACCCTGTAAAAATATAAGTAAAAAAGGATAAAAACCGTAAGTTACCAAAAGGTAAAAAATTGCGTATCACAAATACAGAGATAAATGTGTCATAAAGGCAAAGAACATATCACAAAGACATTATTATTCTTATTAAAAAATAAAAAAATGATAATCGACGGACGATAACCAGCATCAAAACCGATACTATCATCGGTTAAATAAAATTAAAAAAGAAAAAGTTTAATTGATGAATAAAATTGATATAAGTTATAAAGAAAAAAAGAGAGAGATAAAGAGGAGGAAGAAAGGTTTTTTATATATAATTTATTTATTTTAAATCATAATGTAGTTTTGTTTGAGGAATAATGTCAAATCTTCTCACACTAACTAATAATTGATAGTATAATTCAACTTTTTGTTTAATAATTATGGTTTAATTACAATTAATATTTTAAAAATTATATATAATTAAATATATTAAATTAAAATATAATATTTATATTTATATTTTTTTATATAATATAATGATTAATAAAAGAAATTAAATTAAAAATAAATAAATACAAAATCCATCGACCAAATAGAATATTGGCATTCTAACAAATAAAAATAATTGATCATGGTTACTTATTTGTCAATTAAATTCTTGCATCAAAATCAAGCCAATTAACAAGGAGCATGATCCCATGTGGACTGGGTCAAAAAAATCAAATGAGAGAGGTAGAGGAGAGCACGTTTTTGCTACAATAAGGGGGTGTTTGGTTCAAGGAATGTGGGATTCCCATAGGATGGGAATCCCACATTCCCATGTTTGGTTGGCCGGGAATCTCATTCCCGGTAATGTTTTATTACCAATAGTAGATTTTTTGGGGTATATTACCGGGAATGTCATTACCTCCCTTCCCTTAGGTATTATAACATTACCGGCGTTTAGACTAAAATACCCTTAAATTTTTATTTTTCAAAATATCATTTTCTGTCATTGAATAATAAAAATTCTACGAAGGTTAAATTACAAATTTATCCTTAAATTATTTTAGATTTACAAAAAAAATCTATAATTAAAATTTTATATGAAGTTTAGGGGTTAAATTTTTTTTACCCTTTCATTAACCATTTTTTATATTTTTAATTTTGTAAAAAAATTATATAAAATATTATGAATTTAATTTTTTAAAGAAAATATATAAATATTTTACAATTTGTAATATTATACAAATATATAATAAGGACAATTTGGTCAAATATACATTCCAATAATCTTTTATTCCTTTGACCAAACACGGTAATCTTATATTCCTGCTAAACCAACCAAACACAAAATACAACATTCCCAGTAATCCTATTCCCTGGTAATCTTTTATTCCCACTGGTAATCTTACATTCCGTGAACCAAACGCACCCTAAGAAGAAAGCTTAAATGACTAGTCAGACTCAGACTCAGACTCAGAGTCTCAGACAAAAGCCCAAATGTGTTAGGTCAGGCGCCCGACTGAGTAGATTATCTCTCTTTTCTGGTTTGAGTATTTGACATTTTTAATTAAAGTAAGTGCTTAATACTTTCATGTTATTATTTTTTTTCGTTTTTACAACCGGAACATACTTATATTAGATTACCTACGGTATTAAGTTTACTGACAAATCTAGAAATATTTTTTAAGATATTTATATATGTATTAATAATAATAAAATATTTGTACGGGGTGAACACAAATAAAAATTTCAGAAATGACATATTCAATAAAATAAACAACTAACATAAATAAATTCGGATTCCATAATAAACACGTGCCCACCCTAAATTCTACGTACATCCACCAGTAATTATAACTGGGTTGAGATTTAAGGAAGTTGTGAATTTAGGCAAATATCCCAGTGTTCCTTTATCGCATCAAATAGTTACTAAAGCTACATATTCCTATTTGATTTGAAAAATTAAACCTAGACTTTTCAATTAGACGGCCAAAACGTAATCATTAACGGACTTAAAACTGTTTGATTGAGAAAGGAGTTTGTGATACAATAAAATCAATCATTTGAAATTATATTTGGAGTGTCACAAATGAAAAAAGAGAGGTACACCTTATTAGCTTGAATGATCTACAACAACCCGTTCAGCTTAATGGTATATGCTCGAGGAAGCTAGATCTCTATAATAAGGCTCTCCTCATGAAGCTAGGCTTCTAACTAGTTGCATATGTGGATAAACAGTAATGGATCCAGAAATATTTTTCAAGGCGGACACACATATATTAATACTATAAAAATTGTATACAGGTTGAACACTAATAAAATTTTAGGGTGAACACAATTTATAAAAGAGAAAATCGCCTCAGTGACCAAAAATGCCTTATAATATACGATTTTAACCAACTTTTTTTGGATTTGCCAAAATGACCAACAAAATCGCAACGCGATCCCCAGAATCGCAAATCAGTTTCCAAAATCGCAACGCGATTCTTGACAATCGCAATGCGATTTTCATATTCGCATTGCGATTTTCCATAATCGCAACGCGAATATGAAAATCGCAACGCGAACACATAAATCGCAACGCGTATCCGTAAATCGCAACGTGTATCCGTAAATCGCAACGCGTATCCGTAAATCGCAATGCGTATCCGTATATCGCAACACGTATCCGTAAATCGCAACGATAATCCGTAAATCGCAACGATAATCTGTAAATCGCAACGATAATCCGTAAATCGCAACGAGAATCTGTAAATCACAACACTGAAATTTTGGGTATATAACTACGCAACAGCAGCAAATCATAAACTAAATCCCTAAATCGCAACTCATTCCATCTCCATCTATCACTCTCTCCGGCGACATCCGTTCCTATATCCAACGACATCCTTCCCAATCCGGCAACAGGTTTTAGTTTCGCAGCTCGTCTGTTTAGTAAATTAATTTACAACCATGAAATCATCTAATGTTGATCATGTTTGGATAGATTTGTGTTTTGGAGGGTCATGGGATAATGTTCATGGTGTTTTACAATATATGCCTTTACCCATGAATCTTCAACTAAAATTGTCTTTACAAAAGTTAACTTATGAAACTCTAATGCTACGTGTTTCAAATAAATTGAATTTAGAGCCCTAAGTGGATTTAGGCTATCTTATCAGAGAAATGGTAAAGTTTATTTGTTAACCGACAATGAAGATGTTGAACGATTTATTGCTTACATTAGTGTTTCACAAGATGATGTTACATTGTATGTTGTTGAACCTAGAAGTAGTATTGTTGGGTCAGTAGCGGGTAGTAATCAACTAAGTTTTTCTCAAAACCCACAACCTTTCTCTAATCCAAATCCCATAAAACTTTCAGCACCAAATTCCGGTT